CGGCTTTCTTCCAGTACTTTTAGGTTACGAACCAGATTATTATGCTGCACAACTCTATGCTTGTTTAAAGTAAAGAGGAAATGCAAATGTATGAGGAAATAATTTAGATAGGTTTCATGGGGGAATATTAAGCAACTTTAAATTTTAAACAGGAACCCTACTTCCTCAAAACACACTACATTTTGTAGCATACTCTGAATACAGATTTGCAAAAAAATATAAATAAATCAGCAGGTACCCTGAATTTCCACATTTGGATGACTAAGAAATAGAGTGTTAAAGGAAGATGAGAAAGTTGCACAAAATCTGGAACTGTCTGTCTTAACGGTTTTCATTGTAGAACATGTTGACAGAATATCTTTAAATAATATGCTAAAAAAAAACAAGGAACTGAGGTAGTAAGAAATTACATAACTGAGTTTCTATTGCAAAGAGCTGAAAGCAAAAGTAGGATTCCCCCTATTTTCAACCTAAAACCAAACATTCAGATCTTCCTTTAGACTTAATAGATCTTCCTCCCAAACCCGGGGGGGGGGGGGGGGGGAGGGAGGGGACATACTGTATATGAATGATCCTTACTTCAATTTCAGAAACATGTCAAATATGTACCTTAAGACTCCAGAAATAGTTTTAATTTTAAATCTTGCTGATATAAAACAATTAGAGACTCCAGATGTTAGTCCCAAGTATGCTTAACTCAAATGTAAAACCAGTGAGATTCTTACAGATAAGTAACATATTCTTAAATAACTCTGGAATATACTTAAAGATAACAAATACTTGATAGTAAGTTTTGTCAGGAAATGTAAGGAATGTTGGCAATCATGATCATGTGTTTGCAGGAATGTTGGAATGGCCACAATGTTATGAATAAAACTGGTCTGGACATCATGAAAGTTTCAATTCTTCAGGAGTAACAGATCCCCCAAATTCTTATGCATTCTTTCGGTTAGCAGTTTTTCGATATCTTGATTCAAAAATTGTTGTGGTAGACTAATTTGAGGGTAGAAACACAAGTGTTTTAGTAACGTAGAGTTAGATATTGCAGTGAGGTGCTCCTATCCTGGTTCTTCATCTCATTTATATGTGAGGGAGGAGAGTCCACCCACTTTCCTACAATATTCTTTAAGATGAAAAAAATTAGAAAAGAAACAAACTGAATATGCAACCTAAGAAAAAAAGGGAAAGATAACTTACTTTATATTATAGTATCTACTTATTAATTATCACTAGTTTATTAATTATACTACTATAATAGGAATAGTACAAATATTATTTTAAATTATCAACATTTCTGTCAAAGTTATGTGTATTTCTGTATTGCAAGAATTGTAAATACTAATCTAAGCATTGCTATTGCCTTATAAAGGCATGAACTTGATGGATGGGTTTGCTTTTGACTAAATTGATTTCCGTTGTGGTCATAAACATGAAGAAGTTAAGAAGAGCGTCTCTCATTTCTTATCTCTTCTATGAATCTCTAATATTCTTGTTTAAATTGTAATATGCATATTTGTATTGTAGTTCACATTTGTAGTATTTTTTCAAAGTTTTATTAAAGTTTTTTATAGATAAATACAAATATAAAAAAGTAAAAAAAGGTAAAAAGTGCAAAGACTAAAGAGAAAGAAATAGGTAGTGACTTACAGCTTTTTTCAGTGCAGTTACAAGAAAAGTTGTAAATACAATCTTTTTACATTTCTAATTATTTCACACTATTTCATAACAACATAGTCAATTTAGGCAAAAATCAAAATTTCATTTCGAGAATTAAGTCCAGAAGTGGTTTTCAAGTGGAAAAAAGCCTAAACAAATTCTCTTTAATTTAGACAATCAATTGATATCTCCACCAGGTCCATCACCTTTAGCATCCATTCTTCCATTGTGGGAACTGATATGTTTTTCTTTCTCTGTGCATACAATTTTTTTGCTGCAGTCAACATTTAAAATAACTTTCAAACACTTTGTCTAGCAGACCTAAAAAGAAGACTTCTGGCTTTAACTTTATATTTATTTAAATAATTTTCTGAATTCTGAATTAAAGCCTTGTCCCAGTATTTCTTTCCTTTTGACCAGATGATAATTAGTGCCGTCTTTACAATTGTAAAAAAGCTTGATCTCTTGTTTAACAGTAATATGTTTATTTGTCTAGTATATTACATTTGGTAGAATTAAAGAATTTAAAAGTTGTATTAAAAGTTATGCACATTAGCAGTTTACTGAAAGTATTGGAAAAGTTAACCCACATTATTGTATTGTTGTTTTGTGTTCATTTGACAAAGCCTTTCATTACAAAGAAACAACTGCTTTAGGTAGTATAATTGGGAGGCAGCTTATAATTATGAGTCATGTTAGTTTTAGAAGTAAAAGTAAGCCGCCCATCTTGCAGTTGCAGTCCTAACAAAAATCCCACCTTTGAAGTTACTGTTAGTAATGTATTGGAAATAAATATTGTTCTGAGATATTTCAGGCAGTTCATTCCTGAAAGATTATTATTTTTCTCACCTTCCACAGTATTATGTCTAAATTGTGCTATGGCTGCTATGGTTTTTTGTGTTTAAGTTAATAGCCAAACTTCTATAACAATTGCATAGTAGAATTAAGGTATACATACATTTTTTCCTGAAAAACAAATCCAGTTCTTTTAATACACTTCAGTTTTTTTGAAACACTATTCTTGTTTCCTTTACAAATTTGGTTGAAAAATATACCATTTGTTTTAATTTTAGGTGCGCATAGCAGCAAAATTCATCATCCATGCTCCACCAGGAGAATTCAATGAAGTTTTTAACGGTGAGCATGCCATATGTTAATTTTCATTTCAGATAGCCTATATATAGTGCAGCATCCCTTTTTTGAAATACAAGTGTCCTGTTTCAGATTTTGGCCATCTCAAATTTGAAGCATCATGGTTAGAGTCCAAAGCTGCTGTTCTAAACTTCCTGGATGCTTGAAATGCTCATAGATTTTCCTATTACTGAAATTGATGTACCGTATTTTTCACACTATAAGATGCTCCGAACCATAAAACTAGCTTTTGAGCAGGCAAACAAGAAAAAAAAATTGCCTCTGGCTCCCAGCAATATGCCTCCTTGCAGCAAACAACTTGGTCAGTTTCAGAACAGCCTGATTTAGCACGAGCAGCTGATTGATGATTGGATTGACCTCCAATCAGCTGTTCCAGGTTGTGTCAATCGCTACCACCTCGATCGCTACCACCACCTTTCGCTACCTCCACACACCCCATTTTCGGCTTCCATGTGTCCCATTTTGACCCATTCCATTACCGCCACCGTGACTGCTGCTGCCGCCAATCAGCAGCAATAGGCAGCAGCAATCCTTGTCCCCTGGAACGGGCCAAAAATGGGACACAAGGAGGCCGAAAATGGGGCTTGCAGAGGTAGTGATGGGCAGTGGCAATCGCCACAGCCTGGAACAACTGATTGGTGGTATTCTGGCAGGCTGATATAACTGCCAATCAGCTGTTCATGCTAAATCAGACTATGCTGAAGCTGGCCAGGCTGTTTGCTTTTTGCCACAAGGAGGCAAATTGCTGGAAGGCAGAAGCTGAAAGGTGGGGCTTTGGCAACATTCACTCTATAAGAAGCAGAGATATTTCCATGCACTTTTTTGGAGGTGGGTGGGTTTCATCTTATAGACCGGTAATTCTTTGGCATATTTGATATTATCTTATGCCAAAATGAAGATTTGATTTTGTCCAGCATGAACCAGGTCTTCAATCTGAAATAGTTTAAATTAGAAGCATTTGTACACATCTGCTTTTGAGTTACATTTATGTATGCATGATTAACAATTTTAAAATATGTATTACTGTTAGGTATAAAAAGAAAGTATATTGAATATAAGCTTAAAGTTATGATGCTAAAATATTCTATTTAAAATACAGTATAATTAAGTCCTCCCGCATGTCATGTTCTTTGTTACAGTGGAGGACTAAGCTGTGGAATTGACAATTGGTTTAAGCCTAATTAAGAGATCTGCATATCTCCCTTTTATGAAGAGTTTGAGAGGGTTTGAGAAAATGATATAAAATTAGACATTTTAAAAAAAATAACTTACAAAATGATTAGCCATGACAGTTGCTGAAGAGGTGTTAACAAGTAGAGTAGACTTCATATAATTTCTAGAGACACCAATTGTCTTTAAATTGAAACTGGCAATAATCAAGCTATAAGCATTTAAAATGGTACCAGTCTTGAGAAAGACAACCTCAGAGTGATTCTCTTGCCTCAAATCCTATGCTTGCCTGAGGGCTTTTACTCATTATTTTGTCCCCATTTTTTTCTTCCTGTGAAACGTATGAATTAAAGAAACACCAGTTACAAGAAGTGAATCTGCTATTTAAACCTTGAAACATTTTAGTTGTTTAGTTCCTAGCTGCATAATGAACATAATGCCATTGTAAGCTACTGTGTGATACATTCTGTTTGTTTATATAAGTGCAGGTTCTGACAGTTTACAATAAATATTGAACTCTATTATGTGCATATTGAAATGTAAGGATGAATTTTGAATGAATTTCTAAATTTGAGCTTATATAAATGCTTGTTATATTTTTTATGAGTTTGTTAAGCTTTTTAATATTATACTTATTATTACATTATATAACGATGTGTTCATTTTTTGGCCAGAATTGCAAAGTTATGTCCAGTTAAATATACAATAGATCCCCCAGAAAATGTAACTGCTATTTCCTCTGAAACTTCCAAGAAGTATATTTCATCCATATAAATAGCTGGTACCAAATATTTAGCATTAAAAACCTTTAGTTTGGTTGGCATGCATTTGAGATGTATATTTTTTTATTTATTAGCAGATATTTTTCTGACTGGGTTTATATCCACTATATTCACCATATACTAATGCTCAGTATTTTTCAGATGTTCGTTTGCTACTTAATAATGATAATCTTCTCAGGGAAGGAGCAGCACAGTAAGTATTAAACCCTTTATATAATATATATCTTTCATTGCATTAAGAAAGCATGACACTACTGAAAATTTATATTGGTAGGTAGGCAGGGAAGAGGATAATATTTTTCATTGCCTTCAAAATTGTAGTTGCTGAATTAAAATAAATTTGAAATTAATTTTTTTTAAAATAAATTACATTAAATTTTTAACTCCAGTTTGTTGAACAGTCTAGTCAGTCTTTTGTATAAGCGAAGTAGGAATGTGAAACTTAGTCAGTACAACATTTTGCATCCAACCAAACCAGTTATTTTGTTGGATTCAAAAGAAATAGGAAAATACAGACAGATTATGCTAGCACGTCACTTGTGTAAACCAATACATGACTTATTATACACTGCTAAAAACAGCATAGTTCCTTTACTTATCCCATTCACGCAACATGTTAATTAAAGACAAGTCACAATCCTTTGGGCACCATGGACCGGTTCTGTGGGGAGAGGTTTTTCCACAGAGCAGAGGGTAAGGTCTTGTGTGCTGTCTGCATCCCATCGATGGATTTTTATTTGTTTGCATGGCCCGGTTTTTCACCCCAAATCTAGAGGATATAGTGATTAGAAATACATATTTGTTTTAGTACTTACTTTAATATGTAGCAAAAAATTTATCTGATGTCTCTTGTCTTTCTAGTGCATTTGCACAGTATAATTTGGACCAGTTTACTCCAGCTAAAATAGAAGGCTATGATGAACAGGTATCTTTGAAAATATTTAAGTTTGAAAATTATTATTATTTAACATCTGATGGGAATATGACAGAAAAGAAGTAAGCATATATGAACAATGCACATAATTATATACAAGAATTCTATGTGGGTGTGGCAATGGTCTCATAACTGGATGTTGAATTCAGCTATCCAGGTGATCATCTCTAGGGTTCCTTCATATAGATCATCTAGGGAACCAAAGAACGTACGTTGTGGGCAATTTTGCACAATACGTTTAATTGTTTGCATATTAACATCACAATCGCAACAAAGGGACTCTTTTATCCCCACTTCTTCCTTATCACACCTAATTCTGTACAATTTTATCCAAACAGTGTGAGGCAGGTCAAAACCAGGTGGCTTGGTAGAGGTTAGACCGTAATAAAGTACCTTGGACCACTACTCTCTCCAGACATTAAACTGGGTAGATGTTAAGCAAGTAGAATGTTAGCCAATCATATAATTGATTTAATCATCTATTTCTTTTAGTGGAAAAGCTCTATGAAAATAAATACTAATTGATATTATGAGTTATTTTAATTTTCTATTCAAACTTCATATTCTTTATATGCGATGGATTTTGCACTTAAATTGTTAATGTACACTATGATATCAGATGTGTATATAAAGTACTGTCTATATTAATTAAAAGAAGTAGAAATATTAACTTAGAAATGCCCCTTTTATAACTTTTTTGTAGGTATTAATAACAGAGCATGGTGATTTGGGCAATGGAAAATTTTTTGATCCAAAAAATAAGATTGCTTTTAAATTTGATCATTTACGAAAGGAGGCTACAGATCCAAAGCCTCACGATGTTGAAAATGCAATTGAGTCATGGCGAAACTCCATAGAAACAGCAATGAGAGCATATGTGAAGGAACACTATCCAAATGGTGCCTGCACAGTAAGTATCAGGATCTGAAAAATGCTTGGATTAAAACTGTTATTTAGATTGCATAATTTAAATGTCAAAATATATGTACAGAAAGATTGGTGCACTTGCTCTGCTTTTGTGTCTTTCTCTGTATGGCCTGTCCACTGATTTTGTTACATACATACCAGCCACCTTATCCATGCCCTTTCCAGTAAATTTACATTACTATTTAGAACCACAATTGAATTAAAATTTCTGGTTCTAAGCAAGGCATTTGAGTAATGCCCCATGCCTTTTTTTGATCACGGTTTTTAGACAAATCACTGCAGGTCTTAAGTAAATCATTTGGTTATTAAGTGAATCTGGTTTCCCCCGTTGATTTTGCTTGTTGGAAGTCAGCTGGGAAAATTACAAATGGTGACCACATGACCCCGAACTGTAGAACACTCATAAATACATGCCAAGCACCCAAATTTTGACCATGGGATGCTACAGCAGACATAAGTGTGAAAACTGGTCATAAATCACTTTTTCAGTGCTTTTATAATAGTCACTAATTGAATGGTTAAGTTAATGAATACCTGTATTGTCTCCCTTTAACTGCCATGTATCACCATCTTTTATTCACTATCTTATCTCAGTATGTAGAGAATGTTTTCTACATCCATTATAGGTAAAAAATATACAAAGAATTCAGCAGAATGAGGCTAAGGGCTTTCTGTTTCCACAACTATTCTGTTTCCACAGTGTTTGATTCTTGAGTAAGGCTACATACAAAATATGAGCATATTAGTACCCTATATCTACCAATAACTAGTATTTAAAGGTACATTGGGTTCACTGATGGAGATAATATGTAACCATAATCAATAACAAGTAGATGCATTTAGTCCTAATAGTAACAATGATTTTTACCCATATAAATATTTCATCATCATGCCAAATCATAATGAGTAAAATCTAAAGTTATATTATTGCACCCTGTAATAGATGAATTCAGCCAGGTGAATATACTGTATTTTTCAGAGTATAAGACATACCTTTTTACCCCCCCCCCAAAAAAAGGGTGAAAATCTGGTGCATCATACTCTGAATGTAGCCCCGCCCACCTGGTCCGCACATCAGATTTTCAGGTGGTTCCAGGCAGCGGGGATCCTCACTTTCACATGGAGCCTGATTCCCGAAGTGGCCCAGAGAATTGCACTGAAAGCCTTTTGAAGGCCCCCTCAGGAGCAGTTTAATGCTTGCTGCCCCTCTGATACTGCCGAGCCTCCTTCCACCGCAGACGCGCCTTATCTTTTCCCCTGGCCAGATCTGCCACCTGAAACGTGAGGCTCATGGAGGAAAGAGCGTTCAGGTGACAACGCCTTCGGTACACACCATTTTTGGATTTGGGGAGGGGATCCGCCACCTGAAAATGCTTTCCTCCATGATCCACTCATAAGAAAGCTGCGCTTGGAAACTGCCAAAAACCGCAGTTCGAAAAGCACGACTTTCTTTCCAAGTTACTTGGAGGCTTTTGTATATGCCACCCTCCTCCTCCTCCTCCTGCAAATGAGAGGTGTCTCAGAGATGCTAGATTTCTTAGGATGCTAGATCGGGAAGTTAAAAACCTTGAATGGGGTACAATCAAGCTTGATTCAAAGGCTTTGGCTTTGGATCACTGTGCTGCCACCCAAAATGCTGTTACAGCGATCTCTGCAGAGTCCACTTCACCTGCCCCTTCTCGGGCAGTTTCAGGCGGCAGAGATCACAGTAACAGCATTTTGGAGTGGCAGCAAAGCGATCTCAGGAGCTTGATTGTATCCCATTTCAGGTTTTTAACTTCCCAATCTGTTCCTCTTCTCTTCCTCCACCTCCAATCTGCCCAGATCTGTCATGCAGCAAAGAGATATGGTACCTGGGAGCCTGGTACCTGCTTTTCCACCGAGACTAAGGAAGCGGGGTTGCAAAGAGTGCTGTGAACAAGCCCGGTTGCTCAAGGAGGCAGCCTTGCTAGGTCATCTTCTTTGGGGCTCAGGGACCACCACGAGGAACCATTAATCCAAATGAAAGAGATCCCCAACCCCTCCTTGCCCAATGGGCCGTTCCCGGTCGAGCGCAGCAGCAGCAATTCAGCAGCCCCCATGTCTCTTTCTCTCCTCACTGAAGAGAAGAAGCGAGCCGACTGCTGCTCCTTGGACCCAGCAGCTCAGCAACCAGAGTCTCCACCGGACTGTGGGCGAGGGTATCAGGAATAACCCCAAGCTCCGTCTGGAACCTCAAGGGGTCNCTCCGAAAGTCAAGCCTCAGTAGGCAGTGGTCTGACCACGACAGGGGTATGATCTCATTTCCCCTCAGACCAAGGTCACAAGTCCACTGCTCCGAGAGGAATACGAGATCGAGCGTGTGACCCGCTGAGTGAGTTGGGCCTGTATATTAGCAATATGTTTTTAATGAAAACTAATGTCCTTGTCTGAAGGTGTTTTTATATGATACAAATTAAAGTTTGAAAGTTAACATTTTCCTCCATTTGTGATTAAGGTATATGGAAAAACTATTGATGGACATCAAACAATTATTGTTTGCATTGAAAGTCATCAGTTTCAAGCAAAGAACTTTTGGTATGTATAAACTACTTTATTTAGAAATAGATTTCAAAGGAAGTTTTATTAGCGTTTTGATTTCATCATGTTTAATTTTAAAATATACGTTTTATCTTGGGTAATATCAATTGTTATATATATTTCAGTTGTGACACACTAGTCTCCCTTCTGCTGAGTCTCCTAAATGTATCTCACAAAACATGCTGTAAATATTCTTCAGTTCTCCAGAGCAAGTTTAGGAGACTTGGCAGAGGCTTCAGTGAGAGATCAATATTATTAAATTGGTCCGCGATTGCATAAACACTTGTTAATTTGAAAAGGTTATGCCTAATGTACAGGTGTGCGTGCATGTTGAAATTTTTACTTTTACTACTTTTAAATACAGTATAAAGAGTTGAAGATTGAGAAAGCCTTTGAAGAGCCAAAGCAGAACTCCTTGAAATATGTCTTTAAAAAAAAAAAGCATTTTGTAGTGATAATTTTCAAGACATAGTTCTCTCCTTTCCCCCCACCTTCCCTCCCTCCTTTGTTTCCTTTTATGAATTTGTGTTTTCTTTTTAAAGGAATGGTCGTTGGCGATCAGAATGGAAATTCACAATAACGCCTTCAACCACCCAGGTAGCAGGTATCTTAAAAATTCAGGTATGGTTATCCCAATTTTCCAAAATAAACTCAATAGCTTAATAATATCCCATGCAAATCTCAAAACATAATTTACGTATATTTTTAAATATCATTTTGCATTTTTCTATTGGGAAAATGTACAGGTAGTTCTTCACTTATGACTACAATTGAGCCCCAATTTTCTGTTGCTAAGTGTCACATTTGTTAAGTGACTTTTGCCTGATTTTACGACCTTTCATGCCTTAATTATTAAATGAATAGCCTTTAGGGGGCTTGCAGAGTGCTCCTGGGGGTGCCCCCCCCAAACGAGCAAAAAACAATACATTTTTCGCAAAAATGGGCCCGTTTTTTTGTCAAAAAAATTGCATGGATAGCCTTTAGGAAGCTTATAGAGTGCTGCTGGAGGCTGGGTGGCAAAGAACGGTCCATTTTTCACTCATTTCTGCCCTCCCCAGCCCCCAGGAGCTCTCTGAAAGCCTTCTAAAAGCTATGTGCAGCCATTTTGGTGAAGGGGTGGGGTTTCGGGAGGCAAAAAAAATGCTGTATTCAGTGTATAAGACACACCCAGATTTTCAGCCTCTTTTTTGGTGGGGAAAGATGCGTCTTATACTCCGAAAATACGAGATTTAGGAAAGCCAAAAAATATCACTAATATATGCTGCTGCTTCTGTTTGTAATTATTTTACTGTGAACTTTCTATATGTAGGTTCATTATTATGAAGATGGAAATGTTCAACTAGTGAGTCATAAAGACATACAAGATTCTCTAACAGTGACTGTAAGTATCTTTTCCTGTGCATTAGTATAAGAACATTACATATTTTTCATATTACATATTATAAAAGTTAGCATGCTAATAAAAATGAACATACTAGTAGCAATAAGCAACCTGTCCCACCTTTAGGTAATATTCCTGATGTGTGTATGTGTGGCACATGATAACGTATCACAAGGTCATTACATTACATGTATCTGATGTTGATGTATAAGTATGAAAATTACATTTTCACATGCAAGTAACTTTTTCGTCATTGTGACTTGGCAGAATTACATGTATGTTCCCTTTGAAGGAACATTTACATATAAGTGGAAAAAGTACTTAGATCTCTTTCTACAATTGACTTTATTAACAGAAATTGACAAGAGTAACACTTTGATCTACAAAGCTGATAGGTTTTATTTTCTGAATCATTAGTACAAAGCATTATTTGTAAGTAAAATTCATTGTAATGAACTATTTGAGACTTCTTTTAATATAGAAGTTTCCAAATTCATATTCTATTTCATTTTGAAAGCATATTTTATTCAATAAAAGTATTTTTTATAAACAGCTGCTGTTTCAGAAATAAAAATAGACATTTTACCTGTGGATATCTGGCTCCTAGCTGCTGAAAGTATGAAACAATTTAAACAGAAGAAGAATTGAAGCTTTTCATGTTAACTTTATTTTTAGGCAAAGCTAAGCAATACATTTTTATTAATTTTACTGGAAGTAAATTTTACTTCCATCAATTAAATCATTTGACTGTAAATGAACAGTGTTTTATTTGGTCTGGACAGATAGCTATAAGAAAAAGAGGAAGTTAGTGAAATCTATACCTTTTGGAGAATTAATTTTAGGAGTCATAATTGCCTCTGTGTTTTATGTGTGTGTGTCTTCAAGTAAGTGTTGATTCCTGATAACTGCTTCCTTAGGAAGTTTTCAGAAGTGCTTTGACACTGCCTGCTTTCTAGAGCTGAAAAGAAAGTGATAGGGTCAAGGTCGCCCAGCTCGTTTTGTGACTATGGTGGAACTAGCACTCACAATCTTCCAGTTTTTATCCTGTTATTTTATCCATTAAACTGTAATGCGTGTGTGTGTGCACTGTGCACACTGTGCACAATTATTAGACAAATTTATTTTGAAGGATTAATTTTATTTTTGAACAACTACAATGCTCTCTAGTCAGTCCAAAATATTAATAAACCTCAAACCTTCAATATTTAAGAAAGTAAAAGTGAGCTTTTGGCTTTCTTAGAAGAATATCTATCTATGCACAATTATTGGGCAACTATTAGTGTGCAGAATTATTGGGCAACTAAATGAAAAATGAAAATTTGCCCATCTCACTTGTTTATTTGCATCTGTGAGAATAATAAACAAACTCAATATACAAATAAACACTTCTGGCTGCAAAAAATAAAAAAAATAAAATCTGACCGATATAGCCACCCTTCTTTTCAATAACAGTCATAAGCCTTCCATTTATGGAGTCTGTCACTTTCTTCTTCTGATGATCATCACCTTTTTGTGCAGCAGCAAGGACAGCCTCCCAGACACTGTTCAGAGAGGTGTACCGTTTTCCTTCACCATAAATCTGCCATTTAAGAAGGGCCTACAAGTTTTCAATAGGATTCAGATGAGGAAGGGGGCCATATGATTATTATTTCATCTTTAAAGCCTTTACTGGACCAGCCACACAGTGGAGTACTTTGATGCATGTGATGGAGCATTGTCCTGCATAAAAATCATGGTGGTCTTGAAAGATGCAAACTTTTTCCTGTACTACTGCTTGACGAAAGTGTATTCTAAAAACTGGCAGTAGGTTTGGGAGTTGATTTTGAGTCCCATCTTCAACCCAAAAATATCCAACTAGCTCATATTTAATAATACCAGTCCATACCAGTACCCCACCTCCACCTTGCTGGCCTCTGAGTCAAATCTGGTCTGTCAAGAATCACTCTCATCTCATCAGTCTGTTGAAAAATCTGTCTTCAGATATTTCTTTGCTCAATCTTGCTTCTTTCATCTTATGCGTCTTGTTCATTGGTGGTTGGGTTTCAACCTTCCTTATCTTGGCTATGTCTGTGAGCACTGAACACCTTGTGCTTCTGGGCACTCCAGGTAGGTTCCAGAATATGACAGCACTGGAAGATAATGAGTTCTTGACAGCTTCATGTTTGATTCTTCTCAAATCTTTGGCGGTTAATGGGCATCTTTTTTTCTCAACACGTTTCTTGTGACTCTTTTAACTATTTGCAATAAAACATTTAATGGTCATGCCCCAATATCTTAGCAATTTCAAAAATTGCTGCATCCCTCTGAAATACTTTTTTATAATTTTTGATTTTTCGAAGTCAGTTAAATATCTTTTTTGGCCCATTTTACCTGAGGAAAAGAAGCTGCCAAATAATTATGCATACCTTGATAATAGGGTGTTAATTTCCTTAGACCAAACCCACATTACACAAATACACATCACCTGATATGCTTATATCCACTAAGCATTCAAGTTTATACAGCCTGGAGGAGGAAATATGCATAAAAATGATGATATGGTCAAAATACTTATTTGCCTAATAATTGCAATGTGTGTGTGTGTGTGTGTGTGTACACATACATATACACATACATTTATCCAAAGTTATGTAGTCTCTTCACAATATAAGCATAACATTAAAAATAAAGTCAATAAAACATACACTACAATTAATAATTCAATTATAAACCTGGCAGCCTATTTCCTATCCCCCAAAAGTTTTCCAAAAACAATTCAATATTGTCTAACTTTCTGGATCATCAAGGCCTTAAGGAGATAAAAGACGTGGACTTTCAGGAGCCTTTCCTCTTAGGAATTAAGGGCATTAATTCCTCTTAAAAGAGGCTAAAGTCACCCAAGGACAAAGCCATATACAGTTTATGTGGTAAAACGTGAGATTCACATAACAGTGGCTTCTGGACTTCCAAAACTACTGCCATAAGTTGGCGCATTACCTTGTTGCTGGTTCCAATTACCATTGTTAAGTGTGGATAACCTGGAGGTCTATATCTATTGTGATAAAGTTTGTTGAATGGGTAACAATATTATTTTGTGGCTTTTCTGCGTCTCTTATATCATCCTCTAGATATAATACTGATATGTGTCATAGTTTAAACAAAATATCTACTCTCTGCAATTTGTGTACTGTATTTGAAATCATATTTGATCTTAATACTGATAGTTAACTATTTATGGTAGCTTTAGTTCAGAAATGTTTTCTTTTTTTATAGAATGAAACCCAAACAGCAAAGGAATTTGTGAAGATTGTAGAGGCTGCAGAAAATGAATACCAGGTATCATGGTATTTTATAAGACTACTACATATAGTCTCAGCTACTGTTCTGAATCTTACTGGGCAAATTTTATATTTTTCCTTTTATATGTTCAAAATAAGACAAAAGACTGTTAAATTCAAGATGATTGCAATACATAAAATAAAATGTATCAACTATATACTTAATGATAGAAAAGTATAAAAATCAATGTGCAACAATTCAGGATGTGATCACAGAGAGATAACATTTGGCAGGTCACTTATTTACAGTAACAGCTATTGTGGAACACTATTTCATCAGTATGGTAACAGATGACATATTTAGTCCAAAACCTATTTAGTCCAAAATCCAATCTCCTATAACTTGCTTGATTCTCTTTTCTCCACTGTTACATGATACAATTGATTTAATCTTGAGTTCTTAATTTGAACAGATGCTGGGAAAGGAATATATCATCTTGTAAAAGCATTCTTGATACTTAAAATTACAAATTACAATAAATTATATTTATAATTATAAGATATAAAACATAAGTTTTTCCCCAGTGAGTTAAAATACAGAGGTACTGTATTTAACTCTATTATTGTTAAAATATACTAAGGTTTGATTTATATAATATTTCTATTTAATCTTAGACTATCGAGTTTATCGAATAAAGATATGGAAAAAAGTTTTGGAACATAATGATAAAGTATACAGTTGGAAATGTGTTGCTTTATATCAACAAATTGTGCATTGTTTAAGAAATGTTTTCCTTTTTGTTACAGACTGCTATCAGTGAAAATTATCAAACAATGTCGGACACTACTTTCAAGGCTTTGCGCCGACAACTGCCAGTTACTCGCACAAAGATTGACTGGAACAAGATACTGAGCTACAAGATTGGGAAGGAAATGCAAAATGCTTAAAATGAATGTGGCAAATATAATAATTTTTTCTTCTGTACAAAATAAAGTTATTGCAAAGGTATTCAAAATTGTGATGTATCACCTTGGCCATTTGCCATTGAAATAACTGTAAGTAGTTTGGTTAGAACTCAAGGCTTAGGTAACTTACTCTTTTTATTTGTCCATTTGTTTCTCCTTTACAAAGTTATAAAAAAAATCAGTGTAGCTGAAATGTTGAGAGCTTCTGATATATTTAGATTTTTATAATGATATGCCTATAGTTTTCAGTTAAATTAAACAGTTTGAAAAAAAATATTTTTGCATAAAATTATTCCATATTGCTTTGCTTTCATGCAAAAGGCAGCTTACAAACACAATTCCTTTGAAAATATTTTTTTTCTGGACAACATGGATTTTAACCATGTATACTGCAGAAATATTCTGCCCCTCCACTGTTTGAAAGCTGGAGAAAAGCATTTCTATATCCAATCCTATTTAGTTATTTAAATAGCTTGATGTTAACTTTTTTTTAAGCCAAGATCTAATTTTAAGAAGTTGAAATTAAACATTAGTGCTTATGTTCAAAATGCATTTAATGTTCCATTTGACAGCACCTCAGATGAGTTGGGATTTTATCAGTCATCAAGTTATTTTTATCATGCAGCCATAATTGTATTATAGCAAGGCATATTGTTATATATATGTAATCCTATACTCATTGTGTGTCTGTCAGTTTTTTCTTCAATTGAAATGTACTAAAAATCAGTGTGAATTAAACATGCAAATTTTCTATTTAGTTATGATTATCATTTCAAATATATATATCTTTCAACAAGTTTAAGAAGGAATCAACTTATTGAACATAAAAAGAAACAGAAGCCTATAATAAAATAATGAAGGCAGAGATAAGGAGGGAAATAGATATGTGTGTGGGGGAGTTTCAATGGAGGCAGTCCCTTCTTTCAAAAATGGCTTGGATCTAGGTGGCAGTCACATGATGTTTTATTTAATGACCAACACAGCAACAGAATTGCCAGTCACAATTAGAGTTGTGGACCTTGTAAACTGATTCAAGCTTATAATATTGATGGAGAAAATTAAAAGTTTCCATTTCATATTTACAATTACAGAAGTAAATTAATGAAATAAAGGAAAGGATGAGAAAATTTAATAAATCGCAGTATAATGATGAGATAATGCAAGCAAAGATAATTGCTTCACTTCATAATTATTTCAGTTCTGCTTTTTTATTTTAATTATCAGAAGACTATCAAAATCATTTCTTCATAGGCTGCCATTTTCTTTTCCAGAATATCAGTTCCTTTTTTCCAACTTACATTGCATATATGTTTTTGGGACTACTTAGGAAGCAGAACAGAAGTAAGATGCTGCAATAATAGGATTTGCTGGGCACTCTCTTCATGATCCAGGCACATTTCTGTATGAAACGGTTACAATGTATAGTTTTATTTCCATATCACATTAGGTACAAGGTGAAAATCTAGCAAGAGATTAGATTTAAGTGTATGATTCCTAGGAAACTATATTTTCTAATTATTACATAACATCCCTCAAATGTTGATATATATTGTATAGTTTTGCAGATTTGGTAAAATAAAACACAGAATAAAAATAGTTGGTAGAGGATGGCTTCTATATTAGGTTCAATAAATCTATTGATTATTGATCATACATGTAAGACTTAATTAGATCTAATTACATTCTTTGATGATACTATAGCCACTCGTACCAAAATAGTTAATTGACCTCAAATTTCGATGGGAACTGTACAGATACTGTGAGAAATCTTAGTTCTTCAGTGCGAATGTCGGTTATATAAGGAGAGGAGGCCGGTACTCCCATTATGAAAATCCTTAACTAAATAGTTCAGTGAAATCTCCAAAGCAAACTAAAAGCAGGAAGTTGTATTTGGAAAATGCATGGTATTCTTTTTTGTACAATTCTATTTTACAGAACAATATTTCACATTTATCATTAGAATTGTAATAATGAAATTTCCTAAAATAAAGATATAAATTATCCTATTGTATTATCCTTAAAATATTTTGTTAATATGTAAAATATTCAAGTTTCAAAAGTAGATGATGTTCAATATATCTATCCTGAGATAAAAAAAACCCAACATGCGCACAATGTCTGTCCAGTAAATTTATAATTTATTTGCCAGGTGGGGATAGAATGCTGCTTGCTTTTTCTTTTGTTTCCATAGGTGGTGTTGAAAAATCAACAGGTGTTACATGATGGATAATGCCATTTCTCCTCTTCTTAAAAATATCCTTAGTAGGATTTAATTATTTTTAAAAGCATATTAATGCTTTAGCTACTATTTAATTACTATTGCCACTGCAATAGTGGGTAAATAGTAAATATCACACAATAAAGTAAATAATTTATTATGTGATAAAGTAAAAATGGTAATGCTTTTCCCATACAGTCATGCCTTAACCAAGTGTTTTCCTAGGTTACTATGCAGAATGTGGTGGTCATCAGCCTGATGACCAAGTCTGTTTGAGTGCACTACGCCTATTCTGCAATAGTTTTACTGATTTCAATTAATTTTGGAGACCCCAAGCTAAATATTTACAGTATATGGTCTTGGCCCATATATAACTTTATTTTGATATAAGCCTACCCATTCATAACATGTTGTTTGGTGCATAGAATTGTAAAGAGACATGCACCACATTTTCTCCTATCATTTAGGGTACTTGCTGTAGGCAGTATTTTCCCTCTTACTTTAGGATTACTAGTCACCTAACGAAGGAATAAGTGTAATCTTTATTGTCATTGTACTTAACTACAACGAAATTGAATGTCTAAATGACCTTAGTTGGTCTCAGAAAGATAAGTTGTATTTGTTTAGTACTTAGATAGAAACCTTCAAAAAAATTAAGGACTGGGAAGATAAAATATTCTAGAAGGTTTAGAAACCATTTCTGTCCTATTGATTTTTTTAAAAATCCTGCATGTATATGTAATTATCAGGAATTACTCAATTTGAGAGATTTATTAGCTAATATAAATATCATTTAAAAGCTTACATTTAAAGCAGAAATAGCAAAAGCACTGTACTCCTGACATTAAGAAATCTTAGAAGACTATCCATAGATATACAATTATATACTGTTTCACAGTGCTTTACAGCCCTCTAAGCGCTTTACAGAATCAGCATGTTGCCCCCAACAATCTGGGTCCTCATTTTACTGACTTCAGAAGGATGGAAGGCTGAGTCAACCTTGAGCCAGTGAAAATCAAACTGTAGGCAGCTGGCGGTCAGTAGAAATACCCTGCAGAACTGCATTCTAACTGTTGCGCCACCACGGGTCAAGCAATTTGGTAGTTCTGCAGATGAAATCAAGTTCCCAGAATCCCAAAATGCCACATAGATGCCTTTTTTAAAGTTGGAAGTAGGAAGAGATTATTAATGTCTATACTAAAATCAGCAGAAAAATTATATATATTAGCACAAATATATA